AAAGGGCATATTTTTTTTCCCTTAAGGGATTTTCTTCTGTTAATAATTTAAAAACAAACACATTCTGAAACCCTTCCCCCAAAACAAAGCTCAAAATTTTCTAAGAATGAAAACTAATTTCCTTTGAACAAATCTTAACTAAAAATAATGCATGTAAAAATGAACAGGTCTTACTAGTCTGTCATACAGAGTGAAGTAAGTCAGAAAGAGAAAAACAAATACCTTATGCTAACACATATATATGGAATCTAAAAAAAAAAAGGTTCTGATGGCAGGACAGGAATAAAGATGCAGACATAGAGAATGGACTTGAGGACATGGGGAGGAGGAAGGGTAAGCTGGGATGAAGTGAGAGAGTAGCACTGACATATATACACTACCAAATGTAAATAGATAGCTAGTGGGAAGCAGCTGCATAGCACAGGGAGATCAGCTCAATGCTTTGTGACCACCTAGAGTGGTGGGATAGGGACGGTGGGAGGGAGACGCAAGACGAAGGGGATATGGGTATACGTACAGCTGATTCACCTTGTTATTCAGCAGAAACTAACACAACATTGTAAAGCAATTATACTCCAATAAAGATGTTAAAAAAAAAGAATTAAACACACACACACACACACACACACACACACACAAATGAACAGGTCTTAGGTCAATAAAAAATAAATCTAAAAAAAAAAATCCCCAAAGACCCCAAAAAGTTCTTCAGAAATAAAGCCATTTAAAACCAGTAGCCCAAGAGACAAGAATAATCACAATACTAAAACTTTAGTTTCAGAATGAACTACTTTTTAAGAGCTTTACTGAAGTATAACTGACATAATAAACTGTATGTATTTAAAGTGTACAATTTGAACAATTTGGCTCACTTAAAAGTGTGATAATTGATTTCCAACCATTTATGGGTTTTCGAGATTTTTGCTATTGATTTCTAATCCAATTCTATTGTGGACAGAGAACATACTTGGTTTGACTGGAATCCATTTAAATTTATTGAGACTGTTTTCATGGTCCAGTGTATAACCAATCTTGGTAAATTTTGTGTGCTCACTTAAAAAGTATTCTGCTGGTGTTAGGTGATGTCTATAAATGTCAATTTGATCAAGTTGGTTCACAGTATTTTTTAAATCTTCTATGTTCTTTCTCATTTTCTATTTATTTGTTCTACAATTTAATGAGGGAGGCTATTGATATCTCTGACTATAATTACAGATTTTTCTACTTCTCCTTGTAAATCTATCAATTTAAAAAAATATGTATTTATTTTTGGCTGCGTTGGGTCTTTGTTGCTGCGTAAGGGCTTTCTCTAGTTGTGGCGAGCAGGGGCTGCTCTTCTCTGCGGTGCGCGGGCTTCTCATTGCGGTGGCTTCTCTTGCTGTGGAGCATGGGCTCTAGGCGCGCGGGCTCAGTAGTTGTGGCACACAGGCTTAGTTGCTCCGTGGCATGTGGGATCTTCGCAGACCAGGGCTCAAACCCATGTCCCCTGCATTGGCAGGCAGATTCTTAACCACTGTGCAACCAGGGAAGTCCAAATCTATCAATTTTTGATTCATGTATTTTGAGACCATGACTGGGTACATAAATGTTTAGATTTTGGCCTCCTGATGAACTGACTCATTTATCATTATGAAATGAACTTCTTTATATTCCCAGTAATATTCTTTGCTCTGAAATCTATTTTGTCTGATATTAATACAGCTACTCTAGTTTTTGTTTTCAATTGGTTAACATTATCATGGCATATCCTTTTTTTTTTTTTTTTGTGGTAAGGATATTTAACAGATCTACCCTCTAAGAAAATTTTAAGTGTAAAATACAGTATTTTAATTATAGGCATGATGTTGTAGAGCAGATCTCTAGAACTTACCTTGCATAACTGAGATTTTATGCCTGTTGATTAGCAACTCCCCACTTCCCCCGCCACCCAGGCCCTGGCAACCACCATTGTATTCTCTGCTTCTATGATTCTGTTTTAGATACCTCATATAAGTGGAATCATGCAGTTTTTGTCCTTTGGTGATTAATTTAGTTTACTTGGCATAATGTCCTCAAGATTCATCCATTTCTTGCACATGGCAGGATTTCCTTCTTTTTAAAGGATGAATAATATTCCATTGCAGGTATGTATCACATTCTCCTTATCCATTCCCACATCTTGGCTATTGTGAATAACAACGCAATGAATGTGGAAGTGTAAATAACTCTTTGAAATCCCGATTTCAATTATTTAGGATAAATACCCATAAGTGGGATTGCTGGATCATATTGTAGTTCTATTTTTAATTTTTTGAGGAAGCTCCATCCTATTTTCCATAGCGTCACACCATTTTAAATTTCCACCAACAGCGTATAAGAGTTCTATTTTTTCTACACCCTTGCCAATACTTACTTTGCTTCTTTTGTCATGCAGAAAGTTTTTAGTTGCATCTAGTCCCACTTGTCCATTTTTGCTTTGCTTGACTGACCTTTTGGTATCATAACCAAGAAATTGTTGCCAAGACCAATGTCATTAAGTCTTTTCCATGTTTTGTTACCGTAGTTTTAGTTTAAGGTCTTACGTTTAAGCCTTTAATCCTTTTTTAGTTGACTTTTGTGTAGTGTAAGGTAAGGTTCCAATTTCCTTCTTTCGCATTTGGATATCCAGTTTTCCCAACACTATTTGTTGGAGAGACTATTCTTTCCCCATTTCCAAACGGAATTTGTCTGTATTGCTGTTGAATCAGTGTGTTTGTGGGAGGAAGGAGGGCCCAGGTCTTCCTCTCCCTTCAGCATGGTGTATCTTTTAACACCCTTGTACTTTTCACCTGTTTTTGTCATTATATTTGAAGTGTATTTTTGTTGGCAGCATATAGTCAAGTCTTGCTTTTTAATCTAATTTGATCATTTCTGCATTTTAATTGAGGTATACAGACCATTTACATTTAATGTGACTATTGATATGGTTAAGTTTAAATTCATCATACTGCTATTTGATTTCTTTTTGACCCCTCTGTTCTGTTTTCCTTTTCCTCTTTTTCTGCCTTTTTTTGAATTAATTGAATATTTTTTTATGATTCCGTTTTATCTTCTTTGTTGGTTTATTGGCTACAAGTGTTTTATTTTAGTGATTGTGTTAGGGTTTACAGTACACATTGTTAAGTTACCAGTCTGTCTTCAAGTAACATTATACCACTTTACATATAGTATAAGGAACTTACAATCATATACTTGCATTCTCCCCTCCAGGGCTTTGAGCTATTGCTGTCATACTCTAATTTTAAGTATGTATAAACTACAGACCACATTGCTATTCTTTTTGTTTAAACAGTCAATTATATTTTAAAGACACTAATAAGAAAAAAGTTTTTTATGTCTGAAAGTAAGTTTTCATCTTTGCTTCTGAGAACTATTTTTGTTGAGATAGTTTTAGGTTGAGTTTTTCTTTATCATTGCTTTTCAGCAATTTGTGATGTTTCATATTTACTGTTCCTAGATTTCTAGTTTTCATCATATTTGGAAATGTTTCCACCAGTATTTCTTCAAATGATTTTTCTGTCCCCTCCTTCTATCTTCTGGGAACTCTGATTACATATATATTAGGCTGCTTGAAGTTGTCCCAGAGCACCTTGGTGTTCTGTTCATTTTTAGAATCTGGTTTGATTAGATGTTACTTTACAATTTACTTTTTTGAGTGCTTGATATTTTTATAAGCCTATAACTTTTCTTGAGCTTTGTTCTGGGATGTAATAATTAAGTTTCTTAGAGGCTGATCCTTTGGGGTCTTCCTTTTAAGATTTGTTAGGTGGGACTAGAGCAGTGCTCATTTTAGTACTAATTATTCCCCAGTACTGAACACTTCTGTATACCCTACTCAATGCCCTATTAATCATGAGGTTTTCCAGTTTGGCTTGTGGGAACAGGCAGTATTTTCTAGCCTGTGTGAACTTTGAGCACTGTTACTTTTCATTTTGGAGGGTGGCTCTTCCCTAGGCTTCAGGTAGTTTCCTTATATATACGACTAGTCAGTATTCAGGTGATTACTTGAGGGACCCTTTGTGTATCTCCAGAATTCTCCTTCCCTGCAATTTTCTCCTTTCTAGTACTCTGTCCTGCAATCTCTAGCCTCTTTCTCATCTCCCCAGGTCTCACTTCTGTCTTTTCAACTCAGTTCGGTGGGCTCTGCCTGAGTTTCCCTTCCCTGCATCATAGTTTGGAAACTCTCTCAAGGCTGTAAACAGCGAGCAACTGTAGGGTTCACCTTGATTTTCCTAAACTCTAAGGGATTGTTGTGTTTCTTATCTCATATCTAGCATCTTGAAAATCATTCTTTTGTATATTTTGTCATTTTGGATAGTTTTAGGGGTGTGTGTGTGTGTGTGTGTGTGTGTGTGTGTGTAGGGTAGGAGGAGGAGCAATAAATCTGATCGCTGTTACTCCATCTTGGCTAAAAGCAGAAGTCTTGAACTATTTCTTTTTTTTTTTTTTTGCGGTATGCGGGCTTCTCACTGTTGTGGCCTCTCCCGTTGCGGAGCACAGGATCCAGACGCACAGGCTCAGAGGCCATGGCTCACGGGCCCAGCCGCTCTGCGGCATGTGGAATCTTCCCAGACCGGGGCACGAACCCGTGTCCCCTGCATCGGCAGGTGGACTGTTAACCACTGCGCCACCAGGGAAGCCCTGAACTATTTCATTTTATTAGACAATTTTTCTAATTTCTACATTTCCTCTGAACTTAATTATGTATTAATATCTAATAAAATAATTTATTATGAAAAGTTATTCTTACTGTAATAGTCTCTGTTGGTCCATCAATGGGGAAACATTACAAAAAAGATGGACTATAATATCATACCAACTGTGTTAATCAGATATTTTAGATGGAGAATGACCACTTTCTAAGTAGTATATTACCATTAGTGATTCTGGAGACAAGTTGGGGAGGGGAGGGCAGAGACAATAAACACAGCTTAAATAGAAGGATTAACGTAACTTCATATAATACAAGTTGTATAATTGGGTCAATGACTTAATGTGTGATTTTATTTCATATTACTTAAATATAAATCAAACACCCAGGAATCAGGCAGATGCCAAGTAGCATAAGACAAATTCTCTAAAGAGGTTATGAGCAGAGTTTCTAAGAATTAACCGCAGTTTGTTAAAAATGCAGATTTTCAGACCAAATCCCAGATTTTAATTTAGGAGGACTGGGATGGGGTCTAGGAATCCATAAATTATTAACCAACTCAGTGACTTTGGTAAGAGATAAAGAGGTTGCTACAGAATTAAGCACACCTTTATTTCTTACTTGAACTGGATAAATGGATGATGGGTAGGACAGAACGAACATTATTAGGAGAATCAAAATAGAGGCAAGCCCAAGCCAAGGTATTTTAGCCCTTAAGGTTCAGATTAGACAAGACCTCCAATATCAAACTAAAAAACCTGGGGATTAGAGTCTTGAAACCACCTAAGGTTTCAGAATACAGAAATAATAGTTTGAGAGTCAGCATTTTTAAAAGAATATTGACTTGATGGGATGAGCTGCAAAGCTGGAAAGCCTGTCAGAAGGTTTAGAATGAGGTAATAAGGGTGAGCATCAAGGAAGAAGTACTGACAATAGAAACTAAAATGTCAGAGACATTTAGTAAATGTAAAAATTCTGAACTTCCTTTCACATATGTAAGGAGAGGAAGTTAATATTAAATACGAGATTTAAAAATATTCATTACAAACAATAATAACAACAAAAGTAGCAACAATAACAATAAAAATAATAAGAATGAAATAATCTTCAACAGGCTTTTCAGATGTTTACTTGCATGATTCTTGAAACTCCATTAAGAGCTTAGGAGCAGTTTGTATTGCCTGAAAGGAGTATTAAACAGCAGTGTTAGTTTTCTAAATTAAAATGAATTCATCAGTCATTATGAACTAAAAACAGGCACCTTCTATCTTCTCTAAGGCAGATGAAGCAATGCGTGCGCTCTTTAGCATAATTTTATTTATATTTCTTCATTCACTATTACAGCCAATTTCAGTTTATTGTCAAAGATACAGAGATTTGTAGTCAAGAAAGAAGGAAAATTTACTTCTTCAAAATTACAAATTGGACATTTAGGTTAAAAATGCCAAGGGGGGGCTCCCCTGGTGGCACAGTGGTTGGGAGTCTGCCTGCCGATGCAGGGGACACGGGTTCGTGCCCCGGTCCGAGAGGATCCCACATGCCGTGGAGCGGCTGGGCTCGTGAGCCATGGCCGCTGAGCCTGCGCGTCCGGAGCCTGTGCTCCGCAGTGGGAGAGGCCACAACAGTGAGAGGTCCGCGGACCGCAAAAAAAAAAAAAGCCAAGGGTATGATAGAGGGATTAACTCTGGTAGGGGGTGGGTAGGAGCAAAAAAGTCAGACAAGGTTTCAAGGAAGATATAACTTGAGCTGGGCTTGAAGGACAGATGGGATTTGAAGAAATGGAGAATAGAGAGTATGGAAGCAGGAAAGAAAAGGCATTTTATACAAAAAATCTCAGTAAGAATTTCTTTTATATCAGAAACTGTTAACAACTTTTCACAAAGATGGATAACTTGCTCAATGCTGTGAAAGGAAATCCAAAGGAAGACGAGACTTATGGACATTTATTCATTTCTTACCTTCTTTTAGCGGGGTTTTGAGAACAAAATTTTCTTTACTTTCATGAAGAAAAGACTTTGAAGGATCAAAGTGTTTGATACCCAGAACTTTATTCAATTCCTCCTGAAGTTTTGTTTCATGTTGTTTTCTTTTAGCAAGTTGAGCGCGGAGTTTTGACACCTCCTATATAAGAAAAAATACAGTCAATAAATAATTATTGAAGATCACGTTGGTGAAATGCATTACCAATGTTACTGACAATTCCAAAGTTGTTCATTTTTCGAAACTTAATGGCAAAAGCCTACTAGATATAGGCTTTCAGATTATAAATTACAAAACAACTTTGAACAGCGGCAACAAAGAAGACAAGTCATTTAAATCTTCTTGTCCCTCTACAGATACAAAGCTATGTTTCTGATAAAAGTTCAACACCAAATTAAATGCTGAGATCCACTACAAGCATGATAGCATGAGAAGCTCTGCTGACCTGTTCCCTAGTGATATAAAAAATTATAAAAAGGCAACCAATTAAAGCCTCTGAAAATGGTCTTAAGGTGAAACAGCAAGTGAAATATTTATTCAAGCAGATCCACAAAAAGGTGGTTAAAAAAGGCAGCGGTCTATTGTGTTTGAACCAGTCCTGTTCCCTTTCTCTCCAATCCCTGCTTAGCGAAGCAAAGCCTTTACATCAGACCCTTGCAGCCAAGTGCACAGGGCTCCCTCTTTCCCTAGCTCTCAGTCAGAGGCTTTTCCTGCCAGGAGGAGCAGGACATCAGCATCTCTCATCTTGCCCCCCAGCTACCTGTTGCTCTGAACCACAGCAAATGTTGTTGAGAGGTGGAAGGTCTTTTCTTCCAAGGAATGGAGGCCTTATCTCAGGTGCAGAGTGCTGAAAATACTGAGACCCTGATCACCCTTTCCCTGGCTCATGAGACAATGGTTTCAAACCAAGAGAGGCAAGGTGAGAGAACCTCAGGGTGCTCCCCATCTCTCTCTCCCCCCAAGTCTATTGAGCATCTAGCTACTGGGACAGAGGTGTCATTCAGAGAAAAGCTTGCCATTTTCCGCAAATCCAGCTCTGAAGCCTGGGCTCAGAAATTTTGCCTGGTGGGAGAAGCAGGCTATAAAACACAGAGCTCCTAATTTATTCCCAAAGGAACTGACTTCACTTGCAACAGAGCTTAGAGAAGTTCAAGCTGAAGGGTGCTCTCAAGAACAGTAGAGGGACTTCCCTGGTGGCGCAGTGGTTAAGAATCCACCTGCCAATGCAGGGACACGGGTTTGAGCCCTGGTCCAGAAAGATCCCACGTGCTGCAGAGCAACTAAGCCTGTGTGCCACAACTACTGAGCCTGTGCTCTAGAGCCTGTGAGCCACAACTACTGAGCCCGTGTGCCACAACTACTGAAGCCCATGTGTCTAGAGCCTGTGCTCTGCAACAAGAGAAGCCACCACAATAAGAAACCCATGAACTGCAACGACGAGTAGGCCCTGTTCGCCGCAACTAGAGAAAGCCCATGCGCAACAATGAAGACCCAATGCAGCCAAAAAAAAAAAAAAAAAAAAATAGAATAGTAGAATTTGTAGTGCAAGGGAATTGGAAAGTGATTCAAAATGTAGGCTAGGACTTCCCTGGTGGCGCAGTGGTTGAGAGTCCGCCTGCCAATGCAGGGGACGCGGGTTTGTGCCCCGGTCCGGGAAGATTCCAACCTGCCGCAGAGCGGCTGGGCCCGTGAGCCATGGCTGCTAAGCCTGCGCGTCCGGAGCCTGTGCTCCGCAACAGGAGAGGCCGCAACAGTGACAGGCCCATGTATCGCAAAAAAAAAAAAAAAAAAAAAAAAAAAAAAAAATGTAGGCTAAATGGTAGGCTGTCTGCTTTGTAGAGGAGAACTGCTGAATGAGACGAGAGGGAGGAGCCCTCCTGGAGTACTGACATAAGACACAATTCCAACAAAGGAGCCAGAATTAGATTGAATTAGTCTGTACAGCAACTTATTATGCCCCAGGGCATTGTTGAAAATAACAGAGGGATAAGCCAGCAGCTATGAGTGTTTGGGGAGAGAGGAAGACAGCCTTACCAAAACCAAAGTCATCTCAGGTGACTGTGGGCACACCCCAAACCGAACCTTCCTCAGTAGCAACATCAGAGGCACAAACTACTGGGGCTGGGGAGGAGGAATACACTTCACTAAATAAGAAATAACAACATACCTGGAAAGGGATAGCAGTACCCAGAGGTGCTACCACATCTTACCTAAAACATCCATTTTCCAACAAAAAATTACAAAGTATGCAAACAGGAAAGCATGACCTATATACTGGGAAAAAGCAGGCAACAAAAACTGTCCAAGAGAGTAATCAGATATTGAATTTATCCAAAAAAGATTTTAAAGCCATTATAAACATGTTTGCAGAAGTAAAGGAACTAAAAAAAGGGAGTATACTCAAATTACTAGAATCAGAAATGAAAGAGGGGACATTACTACTGATATTACTAAAATAAAAAGGATTGTAAGGGAATATTATGAACAATTGTATACCAACAAATCAAATAACTAAAATGAAATGAACAAGTTCCAAGAAATCCACAAACTCCTGAAACTGTCTCAAAAAGAAATAGTCAATCTGATAGACCTCTAATAAGCAAATAGATTAAACTAGCAATCAAAACCACCCACAAAGAAAAGCCCAGGTCCAGATGACTTTACCACTGAATTCTACTACACATTCAATAAAGAATTAATACCAGTTATTCACAAACTATTCCAAAAAAACGGAAAGGATGAAACACTTCCCAGCTCATTTTATGAGGTCAGCACTACCCTAATAAAATAAAACCCACCCCACCCCAATATCAATATCAACAGAACTAAATGTGATTTTACAAACCGATTTGAGTTGGCTGTTTTCATCTTTCAATTTCACAACATGCTTGATTTTTTGCTTTAGATTCTGATGACCCAATAATTTAGCATACGAATCTCTTAGTTTATTTAGCTGCTCCTGAGCCGCACCATGTTCATTCAACAAAGCCTGTTTCTCTGCTTCAAATGCATCCAGTTGTAGCTGAAAAATACATTTTTTTATAAAGTTAAGATTTAAAGCTGCTAAATCTTACTTGACTCATATAAACTATAAGTACAACTAAAGTGAAAGAAAATAAAAAGGCAAAAGATAAAAAAACATTATGCTGACTTACTCTTAGGGTTCTCCATAAATTGACCTTTTTTTTTTTTTTTAATTGACTCTTTTTAAAACAAGTTGTTTTTCATTTCAAAGATCATTATTAAAACAGAGGGAAAGAAATGAGGAAAGAAGCCCTGCTAGCCAGCTTAATCTGTATCAGCCACATCACCCCATTATAACTAATACTGTCTTCTGACCCTATTTAACTACCAAGATTAGCATTTATCCTTTTATGATCAGCGTATTAGAGAAACACTGAGAAAAATCATAACAAAGTAAGTGTCACAAATTTACATAGCTTAATGATCAAAAGTTCACATCAGCAGAGCCTTCTAAGCTATTAAATTTAAGAAGCTTATTAAAAGGTAATTTAAAAATTTTTAGTTTTAGTTTTGGCTGCCTTGGGTCTTCATTGCTACACACGGGCTTTCTCTAGTTGCGGCGAGCAGGGGCTGCTCTTCTTTGTGGTGGTTTGTCTTGTTGAGAAGCATGGGCTGTAGGTGCGTGGGCTCAGTAGTTGTGGCACACGGGCTTAGTTGTTCCACGGCACGTGGGATCTTCCCGGACCAGGGCTCAAACCCACGTCCCCTGCATTGGCAGGCGGATTTTTAACCACTGCACCACCAGGGAAGTCCCTAAAAGGTAATTTTTAAGCCTATAAAGATTACATTAAAAAAAATGTATGCATAGGGACTTCCCTGGTGGCGCAGTGGTTAAGAATCCGCCTGCCAATGCAGGGGACGTGGGTTCGAGTCCTGGTCCAGGAAGATCCCACATGCCGTGGAACAACTAAGCCCGTGTACCACAACTACTGAGCCCACATGCCACAACTACTGAAGTCTGCGTGCTCTAGGGCCTGCATGCCACAACTACTGAGCTCGCATGCTGCAACTACTGAAGCCCACTCACCTAGAACCTGTGGTCCGCAACAAGAGAAGCCACCACAATGAGAAGCATGCATACTGCAATGAAGAGTGGCCCCCGCTCACCATAACTAGAGAAAGTGCACACACAGCAACGAAGACCCAAGGCAGCCAAAAAAAAAAAAAAGTATGCATAATAATGCAATAAAATTTATAGGCTTTTTAAAATGGGAAGTTAAATTGTTACTGTAAAGGCACAGCAAAATGATCTTTCAGAAGAACCATGTCACTTTCATGACTGACAGGGAACAACATGAATTCTTAAATACAAGTAAGCTAAGTCCTAATTGACAGACCTGAAAAGGTTTTGTTTTATTATATAATTCGTCATAGAGGAGACGCCACTTATTCATTTCCTCAGTTAATTCTGCCGTTGATTTTTCTTTTCCAGCTTTTCTGTAAGGGAAAATTAAATTTTAAACCATAGTATACTAGAAAAAATAACTGAGACACATGGCATTTCGGTTCTAAACTTAAATTACCTTGCTTCTCCCTTTTCCAGTTGTTTCTTAAAGTCTTCGCCTTGTTGCTTGAGTTGGTTCTGCAAATCAGTTATTTTTTTAAGAGAAGAAACTGTGATTTCTTTAACTTCTGCTTCTTTAAGTGTTGATTTGGTCTGCAGATCTAGAAGCATCCTTGGGTTTGAGAGAGAAGAGTCCACTAAACAATTTACAGCCATTTTAGTTTCTTTAACTCAAGCAACTATCAAGAACTGTACTTTTTTAACTGTGTAAATTCTTAATTTGCAATTGAAGATCACACAAAGCAAGCCATGGGACTACAGTTTCCTGCATCACTTAGTAGCTGGCTTTCAACAACATTAAATTGTCTTAATGGTTCTCAGGTCACAGATGTCACCAGGTTTTATTTTTCCCCAATACCTTGCATATTCTTGATTTGCATTCTCAGTTGCCAATATCTCATGCTGAACATCCTCTGCATTTTTCTCAGCCTTGGCCACTTTTTCGTGAAGTGACATGTTCTCCACCTTAAGATCTTCTATCTCACTTGCTGCTGATGCTTTATAGCTTATAAAAAAGAAAAAAGGTTAAAGGATTTTTCTAACTGCTCTATGCATGACAAACCTATAGCTGATTAGCTTATATTTTATGCACTTTTAGGCAGAGGTCCCCAACCCCTGGCCCGTGGACCGGTAGCGGTCTGCAGCCTGTTAGGAACAGGGCCGCACAGCAGGAGGTGAGCTGCGGGGCGAGCTAGTGAAGCTTCATCTGCCACTCCCCATCACTGGCATTACTGCCTGAACCACAGCCCCGCCCCTCCCAGTCCCAACCCCATGGAAAAACTGTCTTCCATGAAACCAGTCCCTGGTGCCAAAAAGGTTGGCGACTGCTGCTTTTAGGTAAAACAAATAAAATCTTTTCTGTTTTTGCATTTGCATAGGTAAGAATTCAATGTTTTGAAGTCAGTACTTATATGACACATGCTGTTCATTTAAAGAGTCAAGTGCCTACTATGTGCGGAAACTAGGCCTAGAGATGCAAAGAAATCAACTACCAAACATCGAAATTATCCCCAAACAAAAAGCCCACACATCCTTCCACCTATTGTCACAGACTTTATCATCCTGTGGGTAAGAGAGGGAAAAAAATGCCCCCACAGGTCTTTGCAAAAAAAAAAAAAAAAAAAAGGAAAAATAAATATATATAATTAAATTTGTAGTAAGTGTTTTGAAGGAAAACTACAGAACACCTTAGCTGATTAGCTGATAGAAATGGAAGAGGCCTTTCTGAGGAATTTACAGTTAAGCTGAGACATGATGGATAGGAAGGATTTAGCTAGCCAGTTGGGGACAAGTATTTCAGAGGGAAAAGATGCATATGTGCTCAGAGACAGGTAGAACACAGTCCATAAAGAGCTGGGACTGGAGTCTAATGAACAAGAGAGGCAGGGGCAGAAGCAAGAGGCATGAGGCCAGTCATCACTGGTGGGGCACAGTGAGTGGGATTACCTGAGGGATAAAGGAGAGACTTCAAAGGTCTCTAAGTAAGTGTGTAGATTATTCTAGAGATACGTGGAGAACTGACTGGGGAAGGGGCAGGAATGCTAAACTGGAGGATTAACTAGAAGGCAATTATTTTTCAGCCCAGGTGAGTGGTAAAAGAATCTTGAACCAAGGAGTTGGCAATGGTAAGATATGAGCTCTCTTTTGGAGGCAGAATTGAAAAATTCAAGAAATAGATTGGATGTTGGGAGAAGGGGAGAGAAAATGATCAAGATGACTCTAAGATTTATGGAACGAGAAACTCGGAAGATGGAGATATCACTGACTGGGCTCAACAAGAATGAGAAACTAGAGGGAGAAAGAGGTAGAAAGGAGATCAAGAGCTGTTTTGGTCAGGTTAATGTTAGACGATAGTGAGATATCTACTTGCAGAAGTCAAGTAGGAAGCTGGATACATGGGTAGGAAGCTGAAAGGATAGGTCTGGTTTGAAGAAATAAATTTTAATGTTATTAGCATACTGATGGTGAGTGACATCATAGAATGGTTGAAAACTTCTTAAGGCAGTACTTTTTAAAATAGCAAGAAGGGAAATCGCTTTTCAGGGTTGAGAATAGCACTAAAAATTATATATATATTTAATCTATATAATTCATATTCATGTTGACATGCGTAAATTATAATTAAAATATATATACTCACATACATTATGTGTGTGTATATATATATGTATGTCATAATATATCAGATGTAGGAACAGATCACAGGGGAAAGAAGGTACTAGTCAATGAATGGGTACTAGGCAATTGATTATCCATATGGGAAAACAAAAGTAAATTTTATCCCTTTATCACTACACATACAGAAATCAGTTCTAGGTGGAAAAATGAAAAGTGAAACTTTGGAACTTTTAGAAAAAAAATAGGTGAATATCTTTATGTTCTTGGGATAGAAAGAAGTTTTGGATGTGAACGTGTTCAATAAAAATTTGTAAACTTAAGCACATTAAAATCAAGAATTTCTATTCATCAGAAGAAACCATAGGCACTTCCCTGATGGTCCAGTGGTAAAGAATCCACCTTCCAATGCAGGGGCCTCGGGTTCGATCCCTGGTCAGGGAACTAAGATCCCATATGCCGTGGGGCAATTAAGCCCGAGTGCCACAACTATTGAGGTTGCATGCCTCAACAAGAGAGCCCATGTGCCGCAAACTACAGAGCCCACACACTCTTGAGCCCGCGCGCCACAACTATAGAGCCCATCCACCCTGTAGCCCGGGCACCACAACTAGAGAGAGAAAACCTGCACACCAAACTAGAGAGAAGCCCGAGCGCTGCAACAAAGAGACCGCATGCCGCAATGAAAGATCCCACATGCCCCAATGAAGATCCTGCGTGCTGCACCTAAGACCCGATGCAGCCAAAAAAATAAAGAAAAAAAATAGATAATCAGCAAGGACCTATGTATACCAAGGAGGTCTATCAACACTCTGTAATAACCTACGTGGGAAGAGAATCCAAAGATGAATAGATATATGTATATGTATAACAGAAAAAGATACTGTACACCTACAACATATACAATATTGTATATAAATGTTACCCCCCAAAAATAAAAATTAATAAAGAAAAGAGGTAGTGAGACACAAGCTTTAAAAAAAAAAAGAAGAAACCATAAAGAAAATGAAAAGACAAGCCACACTTTGCGAGAAGATATTTGCAATCCATATCACTGATAAAAACTACAAATCAACAAATAACAGAAATGAAATGAGAGAGAAATGAAAAAAAGTCACATACAAGCCTGTTACAGAAAAGGAAAGATAAATCATCCATAAGAAAAAGCTCTTTTACATTTATTACACTGGCAAAATTTATGAAGTCTGACAAGTTTTGGAGGGGAGATAGATCATTGAGAACTCACACATCACTAGTGGGAGTGTAGATTTTCACACCCACTTTGTAAAGTGATTGGGCATTAAATTTTAAGGTTGAACATTCACTTAAATATTACTTTAGATAAATTCTTACACGTGTATACTAGGAGACCACAAGAATATTCATTGAGTACTATTAAAAAAATGAAAGAAATGGGAAACAACCCAAAAGCCCAAACTGAGAATGGATAAATAGTGGTAGATTGATAAAATCAAATATTCTGTAACAGTGACCATGAATGAACACTGGCAACACTGTGATTGAATCCTAGAAACATACCTAATGCAGAGTGAAAGGGCAAGTCCCAGGATATGGCATACACTACATGACATTTTTGGTGAAGTTCAGGAAAAAACAAAACTAGATAATATATTATTCATATGGATATACATGCTATACAATTATACACAGGAAAAAAAGCAAGGAAATAATCAATGTAGACTCTGAGATGGTGTTATCTGTCGGAGGAAAGCATGAAGGCATGAAGATGGGATAGTGGAAGAACTCATATATATACCAAGCGGTTGAAAATCTTTTAGCCTGTAGGTTGTCTTCTATGAGCTCATGCATGTTAATTTTACCTTTATGCTTTATAATTTATGTATACATTGTATATCTTTTCTATTTGTTGAACATACTAAAATAGATAAAAGAAGAGCCCTTACCCCCAAATTATATAAAGTATATACAATAAGTAAAAATGTTAACATTAATATACTCTTGGTGTGAGACTGTGTGATGTATCGGTATTTGTTGTATTATCCTTTGCAACTTGTAGTCCCCTCCAAAATAAACTTTAAAAAAAGGGAAAATAACAAGTGAGAAAAATAGGAAGTGAAGAAGTGGATACAGTATATAATCTTCTATCAAGAAGATGGGCTATGAGATGCAAACTATTATATATAGGATGGATCAACAACAAGGTCCTACTGTATAGCACAGGGAACTATATTCAATATCCTGTGATAAGCCATAATGGAAAATAATATGAAAAGGAATGTATATATATATGTATAACTAAATCACTTTGCAATACAGCAGAAATTAACACAACACTGTAAATCAACTATATTTCAATAAAATAAATTAAAAGAAAAAAAAGAAGAAGATGGGGGGAATTCGCTGGTGGTCCAGTGGTTGGTTGGGACTCCACGCTTCCATTGCAGGGGGCACGGGTTCGATCCCTGGTCGGGCGAACTAAGATCTCACAAACTGCGCGGCCAAAAAAAAAAAAAGGCTACGAAGAGGAGTAGAATTTTGGGGTAAGAAGGGTGCTGGGAGTGACAGGTGTTATTGGATAACTGCAGAAGGAAGTGGGGGGTAAAGAGAGACTTTTTAAAAATGTATTTTAAAGATGAAGGCATATTGACATGATTTAATATTGACTGGAAAAATTCTAGAAGAAAGGCTGAAAATTATGAGACAAGGGATAAATGATAGCATGAGGTCACTGAAGGTTAAAGGAATTAGATACTTCATCTGTAATAAGTGGGAGGAAGACGGGATGAGCATAGATGCAGGTGCGTTTACAGGTTTGATGAAGAGGAAATAAAAGCGTTTGGATTCTTCATGAGGAAAATGATGACATCAGGAGAGTCGGACAGAAGTGCCAAAGGTCTGAGAATGCATGAAATTTGAAGTGGGTAGTTGGAAAGGGAAATTACTATATATTCTAAGATACGAGGTAACATTAAATGCCCATTTATGATTGGACACTATGGAATTTAAAGTAATACCAATTGTTTTATTTTTGTGATTATTTTGTGGACAGATGTTCCTACGTAAACACCCCTCCTTGCTCATGTATGTTCGAGAGTGCAGTCTCCCCATACAAATACCTTTCAAATTGAGCGGTAACATCTCTCAGGCTCTGCACTGTACTGTTATACCTTTCCTGCAAAAGCAGTGTGGTCTGAGCATGAGCAGCATTACTTTTCTCCAGTTCAGCTTCTTTCCTAAGAAAAAGGAACAGTTAAAAGATAAAATGCTAACTGCAAATCATTAGTCTCAGAAAGAGACTAGGATTACCTTTGACACTGTGAATCATATATCCCACATCTTCATGTTTATATCAGATACTGGCAGCTTAGACCTAAATTTATGACCTACATCTAATAGCCTGTTCATTTACATACAGCTTCATTTTATCTTTCCTGCTTTTATTTTACTTCTGTTTTCATCCTAATTTACTTACTTATCGTTTCATATCATACGTACTTAGGTAGGTAGTTTAAACACTTTTTTGGAAGAAAGTAGATTAAAAAGACTCTGAAAGAAAATCTTGATAGCAGCCAAATCTAAAGAATGTGAAGGATTACCAGTTAAAAAGCACTAGGGTTGAATAAAATTTAATTCTCTGCATTTAGACATTTAAGGAACACTAGGTACAGTTAAGTTAACTTCATTTTAAGAGTTCTTTTGAAAAAAGAGTTACAGAACTATGTGGATTTATTTTGATTACACCAATTACCACATAATAAATTGTTATCCAAAGATTCAACAACTTATTTAGTAGACTATTTTGCATAGACAGAATGGCTTTTAAGACATCTTTATAAATATATACTATAAAACTATAGAGATTTTAAAAAATATTAATATTACATATTACCACAATGGTGATACAACATTTTTGGTAGGCATATGAGCTTATAAGAGATCTTTTAAAGAACAAATAAAAACTGTAAGTAAGAAGCATTATTCACTTACAGACTAAGTTGGACACTGAGACAAGATAGTTGATCAAATTCATTCTGTAATGAGTATAGGGTTTAAAAAATATATACCACAGCTAAAAGCAATCAACTAGTACTAAAGGGTTTATAATAAAAATGTTCTCTTTCCTGCCCCCTAGAGGAATCGTTGTCAACTTCTAAGTTTTTCTCTTAAGCTTGAAATTTCCAGGCTGGAAAGAACCTTAGAAATGATCTCATAAAACTCCTTTATTTTATATCTAATAAAACAGAAAATAAAAGAAATTAAGATTGTCTTGCTCAGAATCACACAACTAGTTAACAGATCTAGGAATAAAATCCTTATCTCCTGACCTCCGGACTGAGTTTGTTGAGTTAGAATAAATGATTATCTCATCTTTCTTTCCTAAACTGACATCATCCACTCAAGTTTCTTAAAGTACCTGTTCCCTGAGGCTGGTTGCAATATAGAACAATCCCCCTAAGTACACTTTGGTAGTGTTCCCCAAAATGCAAGCATAGAGAAAACTTTGGTGTTTTTTTAATCAGTAACAAAAGAAAACAGAAAAGGGATTAATAACAAAAGTACCTAATAAGAGATAGATACACACTTGTGAAATAAGTGGCGATTCTGTAGCTTTATGTCTAGTCCATGGTTCCTTGCTAGAAAATGTTTTACTGCTGAAATCCCAAGGATTCAAATATTTATTCACAAATTGAACTCAAGAATCAACCCAGATATTTTTGTTTTATTTTGTTTTTATACCTTTTGTATTTATTAGCGCTCTCTCTTTTTTTTAACAACTTAAACTTTTAATTTTTATTTTATTTTATTTATTTTGGTTGTGCCAGGTCTTAGTTGCGGCAGGTGGGCTCCTTTGTTGTAGGTTGTTAGTTGTGTCATGCAGATCCTTAGTTGTGGCACGTGAATTCTTAGTTGCAGCACGCATGTGGGATCTAATCCCCTGACCAGGGATCGAACCCCTGTCCCCTGCATTGGAAGGTGGGTTCTTAACCACTGCGCCAACAGGGAAGTCCCTCAACCCATTTAAATAAATGTAGTGGAGAAGGACCTATAATGTGATGAAAATAGTATGGAATAAGAGTTTAAAAAAAAAAAAAAAGCATGAGAACTTAGGCTTTCTACTTTTTTTTTTTTTTAAACCCACTAGCTTTGTCTACCTGAAATTGTCCTCCTCCTCTTTCTGGCTTTGGAGACTGAGGTTATTTATTTACTTATTTTTTTATAAATTTATTTTATTTTTGGCTGCATTGGGTCTTCGTTACTGCGCGTGGGCTCTCTCTGGTTGCAGCAAGCGGGGGCTGCTCTTTGCTGTGGTGTACAGGCTTCTCACTGTGGTGGCTTCTCTTGTTGCAGAGCACAGGCTCTATGTGCCCAGGCTTCAGTAGTTGTGGCACGTGGGCTCAGTAGTTGTGGTGCACAGGCTTAGTTGCTCCATGGCATGTGGGATCTTCCCAGACCAGGGCTCGAACCCGTGTCCCCTGCACTGGCAGGCGGATTCCTAACCACTGCGCCACCAGGGAAGCCCCAGGCTTTCTACTTTTAATGACAAATTTTTTATTTTTGAATGTTTCCCAGTTCTGGTTGTTTTTTTCCCATTGTGCTTTTTGATTGTTACTTCTGAAGTGTTTGTGCTCCCTCAAAAGAGGTAATTAAAAGTATAACTTACACTATGATGCATATATGGACAAAAAATGGAAATGTTTCTTATTAAAGGGTGGGAATCTTATTATTTTGGATATTTTTCTAAATCTGTTATCATTCTAATGCTAATGTCCAATAATTTTTAGAAAATATAAGAGCAGTATAGGAATACAAAATTTTGGTTATTAAAACTCTCTTTAGTTAAACCTTGGGCCTTAAATAAAGAAAGGGCATGGCTTCTGACTTTGGCTGTCATACTTGTTTATATGCACATCCTGTGCATGTACTTTACCTGTCTGTGTTTATCCCTTATTTGTAAAATAATTCCAACCTCACCACTCACACGATTGGTGTGAGAATCCTGAGAGAATGTACTAGAAAACACCTGTCAACATTTGAAGTCATATATAAAAATGAAGTCCTATTAATACAAACCCTTTCAGTCTTTCTTCCATGAGTTTTAGTTCTTCACCTCTAGATTCTGATTCTTCTTCCAATTGCTTGACCAGGCTTTCAACTTGTTCCTCCTTTTGCTGTAATTTATCTAGCTCATCCAGTGCTTGCTTTAATTCTCCCTCAAAGAGATTCCTCTCTTTAACCATTTCCTCTTGAAAAGAACATAGCTTCTGTTGAAGACTAGAAGATAATTCCTGCATCCAAATAGAAAACCATCAAAATAATTTGAAAGCTTTTGAAAATTTAATAAATAATTAAATTAAATTGAATGATTTGTGAGGTTTTACTGAGGGCAAAAAAGAAGTACAGATGATGAAGTATGGACACTAAATTCAAGAGCCTCCAGGAAACTTGAAAAATAGAGAGATATCATATTTATTTTATCATGGATTATATCCTACACTTTGTTAACATTATGGTAAATGCTATTTCAGTCTTTTTTCCTACGCAACACACACACAGACACGTGCGCGCACACACACACACACACACACACTTAGAAAACCAAAATCATATTCTACAACTGACTTTTATCATTTTTCTCATGATTTATATAAAAAGAGTACTATGATTTCAATGTTATATAAAATATTTTAATGTTATATAACATGAGTAAATATGAATAAATAAATACAAATAAATCACTTGTGAAAAAATTTTAACATTACAAATAAAATGAAAATTGCCTACTTGTATTCTAACCTTAGTTTTCCCATTCCAGAGATAACCACTAGTTTGGTATTCTATGCCTTATGGTCTTTTTCTATATATTTATATACTTAAAGTGTAAATGATATATACTGTGTATGCAAAGGTCATTTAAAATATCATAAAAATAGTAGTTGAGATCTTTTCAAGTCAATATATACAGATCTACTTAATTCCTTTGTTGTTGCAGATTGACCAATGATACAAAATTTCATGTGCATGTGAATGCCTGCTTGCCCAACTCTCACCAATGTGTCATATTAGTAAATGTTTTAATATGTGCCAATCTTGTAAGTGACAAAAACAAATTATTTCTATTTCTTGGATTACTACTAAGGTAGTGCATCTTCTCGTGTTTACAGACTACCTGAATTTCTTTTTTTTTTTTTAATTTAAAAATTTTTTTGGCTGCACCATGCAGCTTGTGTGATCCTAGTTCCCAGACCAGGGATCGAACCTGGGCCCCCTGCAGTGGAAGCATGGAGTCCTAATCACTGGACCGCCAGGGAAGTCCCGAAGCTATCTGAATTTCTACTTCTAAGAATTATTTATTTCCATCCTATGCCTATTTTTTTTTTTTTTTTAGTGAATTGTCCTTTTTTCCTCATTGATATGTAAAGTGTTCTTTATGTAATCTGCATTTTAAATAACTGTCAGTTTCCTTTCTTGTCTAATTAGACACTCTTTTACCATAGAACTGTAAATGCCGATGTAGTAATCTAACACAAGAATGTGCTGAAAAATTTTTTTAAACAATTTCCTTATTTTGCTTCAACTGCTCCTTGAATTTTTTCACATTATGAATAACGCTGTGGTGAACAGCAGTTAAATACGTGGCATAGGCACGATTATTTCCTCAGGATAAGATTCTAGAAGTAGAATTGCTGGATCAAAGGACATATACAATTTAAAGGTTTTCTGATATACAGGGAAATGTATTACCTAAAAGAAGCACTAGCGTTTTAAAATATTGTAGTAAACTACCTTTTCTTGTTGCAGAAGTGAATCAATTTGCAACACTTTTTGTTGTAGCTCTTCATGTTCTTGTTGTTTAAGAACAGACCTCTCTTTTAAGTTTCGTATCTCAGAGTTTAGATTTTCATCCTGTTCTCTGTCCCTATTGATGAGGTCTTCTAGAAAAGGGAAAACATTAACAATGCTGTAATTAGATACTAATATTAACTTTGAGAAACCCAGATTCCCATAATATTCCACTATACTGCTTTGTAGCATGTTACAGAGATCAAGTATTTCCAAAGGGGGGAAAAATAACTCTGAAGTTGGTATGATTACTATATATAAAATAGTATGTATATTATATAATAAAACCCCCAAACCTAGTTCTATGTATCTACCAATTTTAAATGGCCACCCAATGGGGAAGTCAAGAACTGCACAACCATATATATTTCAATCAAGACAAGAAATATATTGAAATAAGCAGACAACAAATATCATAAAAGACAAAAATTCCCAAACATAGAACAAAATTTTTGTTGTTTATATAATTATTTTAGAAAGTTGTTATAACATAGCAGTACTTTTAAAAAATATCATCGGTAGTACTTATCTAAAGAAAGTAGTACTATAAACAGTGGAATACCTTTTTCTTTTTCAAGCAGCTGGCATTTAGCATTCATGTCTTCCACTTGTTTAGACAATATAGCAACATTTTCCTCCAGAGACTGCTTAAGGCTTAAAACTTCATGATTCTTCTCTTTCAGATTTTCTTCTAACTGGGCAATATCTAGCTTGTATTTTTCCACTTGATCTGATGCACAACTGCATTAAAACAAATTATGTTGAAGAGCACATCTATTTAAGCATAGGGAACATTAAATGAAAAGAGATGAAAATGATGTATTCACCACAGTTCAACAAAATAAAGTCCAATTTAAAACTACTCTTCATATTACCTTATTTCTTCGATGTATTCTAAAAGTTTTTCTGTTTCAGATTTTTCATCAATCTTTTCTTTCTCTATTGAAATACTAAAAAAAATTGCACATATTAATATACACAATAATCACGCATAATGCTTACTCTGTACCAGGTACTGTTATCTCAGGTAGGCTGACTCCGGAGTCCAAACTCCTAACCATTCACTTATGTGACCCCTGAAGTTGACAATTTAATATATGCAAATAGGAGGCTCAAGTTTTTTACTTTTAAGTAAGAAAGCTTTCCAAATATATTCTGACAAAAGGGTTATGATGATGAGAGTCATCCTCTGCAACACTCCAAGTGTAACAGAAATCATCTTTTCTGTAGCTTTCCTAGCTTCCCCACCCCCCACACATACAAAATAACATTTTGTGTGCCACAAAGCCTTTGTTCCAGGCTGCCTTATATTCAATTACTTATGTGTTTACCTCCTCCAAACACCACAATTTGAGAAACGGGCGAGCGACAAACAGACACCTTACACAAGGATATATACGAATGGTCAATAAGCACATAAAAAGATGCTCGACATTAATAACAACAAATTAAAATCACAAATGAGGGACTTCCCTGGTGGTGCAGTGGTTAAGAATCCACCTGCCAATGCAGGGCACATCGGTTCGAGCCCTGGTCCGGGAAGATCCCACATGCCATGGAGCAACTAAGCCCATGCGCCACAACTACTGAGCTCACGTGCCACAACTACTGAAGCCCGTGCGCCTAGAGCCTGTGCTCTGCAACAGAGAAGCCACCACAATGAGAAGCCTGTGCACTGCTATGAAGAGTAGCCCCCGCTCACCGCAACTAGAGAAAAGTCTACACACAGCAATGAAGTCCCAATGCAGCTAAGAATAAATAAAATAAATAAATTAAAATAAATAAATAAAATCACAAATGAGATACTACTTCACATCCACTAGAAAGGCCGAAATCAAATAGATGACAACATCAAATGTTGATGAAGATATGGAACAGATGAAACTATCACACATTGTTAGGTGGGAGTGTAAAACAGCAAAACCACTTTGAGTGTTTTAAAAAACGTTATATGTATACAACCCTATGACACAGAAATTCCACTCCTAGATATTTACTCAGAGAAATAAAAGCCTGTGTCTACAAAAAGGCATATATAGTTGACTTATTGATAATAGTCAAAAACTGGAAACCCAAGTATTGATCAATAGGAGAATAATAAACAAATGGAGGTATATTCATATAATGGAATACTACTCAGAAATGAAAGGAGCAAATTATAATACACCCAACAGTACGGCTGAATCTCAAAAAATTATCTTAAACAAAAGAAGCCACATATACACACATATGCATGCATGTGGTAATAAATGTCCCCAAAAAGGGCAAACTAATTTATGATGATAGAAGTCAGAAAGTGGTTGCAGGGGTACAGGGGCAGCCATGGGGGAGGAACAGGGGAGCAGGAAGGAGCACGAAGGAACTTTCCGAGGGGATGGCCACACTGTCTACCTTATTTGGGTGGTGGTTACACAGGTGTATACAATTGTCAAAAGTCACTAAACTGAATACTTATGATCTGTGCATTTTACTGTATACGAATTACAGCTGAGTAATAAAAAGAAGGCTAGGATTGTGCATTCATCACAGTTCCCTATACCAATACTTCTCAGCTTTGGTCTCACTACAACCTCTGTAAGATTATGTTGTTAGAAAGACCATGAGTCTTTCCTCATTATTGATACAGAAGACGTACAAAAGTAATACATTCATACATCTTTCAGCATAAAATGTTTGGGAATTATTAGGGCTCAACTGTCACTTAGGAAGAGAAATAGGGCAAGTAGAGGCAGGCAATGAGGTAAGTATGAAGGGAAGGTTAAAGTCTCAGTAAACAATAACTAGCAGAGAAAGGTAAATCAAAAATTGGTTACACACACACACACACACACACACACAAATTGGTTATACAAAGGAATCTCTTTCCTTTTAGTCACTCACATCTTCCCCTCAAGTTGTGCTATTTTCTCCTGAGACTCTTCGAGATTCTTCTGGGTAACCTGCAGCTTCACCTCCATGCCTTCTTGTTTAGCCATCACGCTCTACACAACAGAAACATCTGTTTTAGGAAATGAGAACTTGTTCAGATCCCCCGCTCCAGACACAGCAAACTTACCAAAGGTCACTCACCCTCATCTTTATTTCTCTTTTGTTTCGAAGTTTCATCAACTCAAGGCTTAGGATTCTCAAATTCTTCTGGTTACTATCATCAGAAAACTAAGTACAACGAACATAAAAAATCGAGAAATATTTTCTATTAAGTCCTGTAAAAAAATCACTTAAATATTGATTATCTATTATTGGGACTATTATTTGCCTACAACATACTCTGGTAGAGAAAAGAGCCAGGATTACTGGTTTTACACTACTACTGTTCTTCTCTCTCCTTTTCCTTCATGTGACTTTCTGGTCTACTTTTGAAATCAGCTTCAGTGGTTGTTTATCTGTATATGCTAGAAAGTCCACTGTGTGGCTCTAAGACAAGCTTCTTGGAGAGAATTTCGTAAAGTGTGTTTGCTTAATAAAATGCATCTGCATTGTTTGGTCTACTTTGAAATATGCAGACTATAGGGTCCATCGCAGGCCTAATAAATCAGAATCTCTCTGAGTGGGGCCTAGGAATCTGCTCCCTTCCCCGTGCTTAATTCTTATGCATTCTTACTCCCTCTGTAATCAAAGAGCCCAGTACATGACAGGCCTTGAATAAATGACTCTTATTAAGCTGAAGAGTGATTTACAGCTTCCTTCTACTTCTGTAAAAAAGCAAGACGACCATGTTAAGTCCTTTAAGATCATTAGTATATTAATATTGATAAATACAATTTATCTATTGAACACATTTAGTCCACACAATTATTCATTTCCCACTATATTTCCAAAAGGATTTGAGATGGAAGCTTGCTATTATGCTATTATTTCTTTCAGAGAAAGATCTTTAAAGATACTTCTAGATGTAAATTCTGCAACATTTATTAGTGGCCTTAGTTATTGGGGGTGACTTTGAAGAAGGTGAGAAAGTGTCAGACATTAAAACAAAAAGTAAACTTTTTTGTTTATAACCTCTTATGTGCCAGGCACCAAAATAAAAAAGATGCAATAATAATTCCTACTGGAAGCAGCTTAATATTTAAAGTACATTTAGTGAAGGAAAATGACTAAACTAGGCCTAAAATTCCCAAATAGCTATATGAGAAAAAAAACATGTTTATTATTTATTCAACTGTAAATATTATCATGAGGTTCAAATACCTTAGATTTTAGTAGCTCATTAGTCCTGGTTAATTCAATAAGCTGTTTTTCCAGTGAAGCATTACTTGCAGAGAGAGATGTTTTTTCCCTGACGGCAGCATTTAGCTTTGCTTCCGTCTTCTCCAACTCAGCTTCCAGATCCTGGATCCGCTTGTCTTGAGCACCACGTTCCTGCACAAGAACACGAATCTGGATAGAAACAAGGTGATGAATGAATAATTCACTGATTACTGCCAACATAATCACTAAATGCTACTGATAATCAAAATATTAAAGTTCTAGACAAACTTCTGATTGTGACATGATGCTCTTAGATATTCTTAGCTGTTTAAGCAATCATATTTATTTTATGACACATCTTGAAAAACTGTAAGCATTTTAAGAACAGAGGATTTGAACTGTCATAAACTTCTAGGTGTAATTAAACTGTTTATTCACTTTTAAGGTATTTCTACCTATAAAAAGTCTTCTTTACTCTAGTTCTAATTATAGGAAGTCAAATTATAGCTTGAAATGCTAAATATCTTTTTCATTTCTGGGAAAGCAGAACTGGGCTTCTGAGTAGGATATGGTAGGCATCAGCAAGCCATCATTCCTGCTGCAATTACTAGGTAAAAACCAAAACCTAAATCAAAAACACATACTTGTCAACAAAAAATGTGGAAGCCAGAGGACAATGAAATGTTTAAAAATGTATGCAGACAATCTGCCAATCAAAAATTCTATTCCCAATGAAAATATCCTTTAAAAATATGAAGGTGACATACAGATGTTTTCAGAGGGGAAAAAAAAAGGCTGAGAGTATTTGTCAACAGTAGAACTGCATAAGGAATTCTAAAGGAAGTTCTTCAGGCTGAAGGAAAATGATCCCAGGTGTTTGTAAGATATGCACTTTAAGGACATAGATTGACAATAAAGAGATCGGAAAAGATTTACCATGTAAACATTAAACAAAAGAAAGCTGATATGGCTATGTTAATATCATACAAAGCAGACTTTAAGGCAAAAAATATTACTAGGAATAAAGACTTTTACGGGTAAAAGATTATTTCAAGAGGAAGATATAATCTTAAATTTGTTGTGCACAACAAAGTAATATCATAACTTCAAGATATACAAAGCAAAAACTGACAGAATTAAAAAGATAAATAGACTAATCCCCAGAGCTACAAATTTAAAAATACCTTTCTCAGTAACTGATAGAGTAAACAGACAAAAATATCAGTAGAGATAAAGATCTGAAGAAAACTGTTAAACAACTTGAACTAATTGTCATATATAGACCGCTATAACCAACAAGTGCATGTACATTCTTTTCTAGTTCACATAAAACATTTACCCAAATAGACTATTAGCTGGGTATAAAAGTATCAAGAAAGCACAGCTGCATTAAATCACATGAAAAGTATTTTCTACCCTCATTGGCTTTGTATTCATACTAATCTCAGTATTCTAAGCCAATTGCTTTAACTAAAAATATATCAAGCACCACTTATATATACAGTTGTGAACTAGATGCTAGGGACTGAACGAGCTTCAAGATTCCCTACTATAAGATTCTTTATGCCTACATTATTGGTTTAAAACCAATGTTGATAGCACATCATAAAACAGAAAAAAGGATCCTGAGATTATCTACATCACACTTTTTTCAGTTAAAGAAACTTAAGCTCCAAAAAAGGACTGTAAACTCAAAAGACCAAGCAGATAATATAAATAAGAGAGCCAGGCGAGGACTGACTGAGCAAATGTGGGGTCTAAAGAAGGCAACGGATGTGGAAACTGTGCTATCAGATCTTCTAATTTTGCAAGAGAAGTCAGAAATCTGAATTTGTTTTGCATGATATTTTACTTTTAAATATTGATAATTAATTCAAATTAATCAAACAAACAACAAATACTGTGGGGCTTAAATAAAATAGAGCTGTATTTGTCAAAAATTTCTATTCTAAAAGATTAAGTAACTGATACAAATTACCAGTTCTAATCCTGGCACTGCCACTCACTCACCAGCTATCTCATAGACACTCGGAGACACTCAGTTATTATATATCTAAGTATTAACTCCTACATCATAGGCATGTATCCTCAATAAAATGATAGCCAGTATTACTAAAATAAATACAAAAAGGATCAGAGCAACAAGGGCAGAGATTTGCAAAGTTATTTTGACATATTCTGGATCTTAAGCCAACATTTAACTGTAATCAATAGTAAGTTTTAATACATCAAAAGAATATGTCTAGGGGACTTCCCTGGCGGTCCAGTGGTTAACACGCCACGCTTCCAATGCAGGGGGCACAGGTTTGATCCCTGGTTGGGGAACTAAGATCCCACATGCTGTGTGGTGTGGCCAAAAAATATAAATAAATAAATAAGTAGAAAATTCTTATTAAAAAAAAGAATATGTCTACTAGAAAGAGTTGCTCAGTAATGGAAACACAGAAAAAAGACTGCCAGAAAAGCAAAGCTGGCAGTGATCAGCCTTGCCCTGCTTAGGGAAGTAGGCAGGTTTTTTAGGTCAGCTTTGCTCAGTAGAGATTTCTGCTACGATGGAAATGCACTGTGCAGTATGGTAGCCACTTACCACTAGTGCCTACTGAGCAGGTGAAATGTGACTAGTGGAACTGAAGTACTGAATTCTTAATTTTATTTAAATAGGGACGTGGTAAATGGCTACTATATTGGATAGTACAGGCAGTAGGTCATTTTATCCTTGAGGAAGGCATATACCTATAGTGCAGAGATGCAGTAAGTTAGCACAACTCCATCACAATTCAAATAACCTGCTAGGATTTCATGCTCACCAAGTTTTCTAGCTAGCTACTGTCTTAACACATAGATTACTATATAGGAAGAGTGTATGCTATGAGTAAAGGTTAATATTTGATCCACATATAGTTGTAATAAACTAACATATTGATTTTAGTTATCCGTTTTTCATGAAGTAGATTATCTTGAATCCATCCCTTACTAAGCTAACAAATTGCATACCACATTGACAACCACGCTCTAAAATATGGTATCCAAGCCAAGGATTGGTTCCCCTGTAGGTACTGGCCTGGATGGTACATATGCCTCACTATATGACTCCTCAAATAGCAACAGAATCCTTGTCTCTTAACTATGTGTAACTCTTTTTCCATTATATTGCACTTACTTTTCAGTAAGTTGAAAGTACTGCTTACCTCTTTTGCCAACATCTTCAAATCTTTTTCATTCTTTTGAGATTCTTTCTATTTGAAAATCAAAGAACAGAGACAATCAAATTTAAGTGCCACAAATACCATAGCCAAATTTGATTTTTAGGTATCAGAAAAGATTAAGGGTTCCAAACATTTCACTGACTCTATAAAATATTTTGTAGGTGACTTACCTAGCAAATGAAGGAAAAGGTTCTTCAAATCTTAAAATATTTCGGGCTTGAACATTTTTTACCCCAATAGATGAGGCTTTTGCTAACAAGTCCACTGAAAAGAACAGGTCCTCTTTTCTAATGTTAAACAGCAATACATTTTAAATACTTAAGTATGCTATCTCAGGAAAAAAAACTCTTAAAAAGAGAAATCAGGGCTTCCCTGGTGGCGCAGTGGTTGAGAGTCCGCCTGCTGATGCAGGGGACACAGGTTCGTGCCCAGGTCCGGGAAGATCCCACATGCCGCGGAGCGGCTGGGCCTGTGAGCCATGGCCGCTGAGCCTGCGTGTCCAGAGCCTGTGCCCCGCAACAGGAGAGGCCACAACAGTGAGAGGCCCGCATACAGCAAAA